TGATAGATGGAGGCTGGAAGAGTTTTAAGCTTCCTAATATTAAGAATTTGGATTGTTTAAGAGATAATTTGTAGAATTGTAGATGTTAAAGACAGTTTTGGTGATAACCGAGAAGGAAATGCGGAGAGCTATAAAGTTTCTATTTTCTTATAGCATATACTGGGGACAAGGGGAACTTCAAAAAGTTCATGGAAAAATGAAATTAAAAGGTCATGACATTTTCCCACTCTTGATAAAGTCCCATTATAAATGGGACGAACAACAGCATATTTCTAGACAACTAGAATTAAACCCAGTGAAGCTTTAAAAAGGAATATGGAATTGGCCAAGGGAATAAAGGCAATGCTTTTTTATTAATAGCAAATAATTTCGTCTGCATTTTGTTCAAATAATTAGTGGACGCTACAATTTGTAAATGATAAATGAGTATCTGCCTGAGGAGCAATTCAGGCAAGACCTTAAAGAGGCCAACTAGTTTTCCCTTGCTACTTATAATAAAATTCAGGATAAAATAGGTAAATTTAAAATATGAACTTGAACTGTTCACAATGAAACTGTTAAAACAATTACAAGAGTGATAGAAAGATCAAGATGTATACGACATTAACGTTTCTAATCTGAAGGGCGATTGCAGTCCTTTAACATTTTCTTCAGTGCCATCTTCATATCCTTATTTCTCAGACTATAGATGAGCGGATTCATGGTGGGTGGCACTATAGTATAGAACACTGACACTAGCAAGTCCCAGGATGATGGAGATTTGGGTAAAGGTCGAAGATAAGCAAAAAAGCCAGAAAAGAGAAAGAGAGTCACAACAGTGAGGTGAGGCAGACACGTGGAAAAAGCTCTGGACCTTCCTTCTTTGGAAGGAATTCTCAAGACAGTGGAGAAAATGTGAATGTAAGAAATATCAATAAATACAAAACAGCCAAAATCTAACACAAGGCTTAGTCCAATGACTACTAATTCTACAATATTATAAGAACAGGCAAGGGAAAGCAGTTGCGGGACATCACAGAAGAACTGCTGGACGTTTGGAGACCCACACACAGGTATGGAGAAAGTAGAAGCTGTGTGCAGAATTGCATTGAGACCCCCACTGGCCCACGAGGAAGCTGCCATCTGCACACAGGCTCCATGGCTCATGATTGTTTCATATCTGAGTGGGTGGCAGATGGCAATGTAACGGTCATAAGACATCACGGTGAGCAGAGATACTTCTGTAGTGGCTAGTAGGAAAAAGAAAAATACCTGTGAAACACAGCCAAGAAATGAGATGGTGTTGTGATCAGTGAGAGAATTGGCAACGGATTTGGGAACAGTGATGGAAATGAGGCAGAGATCCAGAAAGGACAAGTTCTTCAGGAAAAAGTACATGGGCATGTGGAGTCGAGGATCCTTGGTTGTAAGGGTGATGATGAGAACATTCCCGAGTAGGGCTGCCAGGTATATTAACAAAAACAGCGCAGCATTTAAGATCTGAATCTCCCGAACATCAGAGAATCCCATGAGGAAGAACATGGTCACAGAGGAGAAGTTGTTCATTTCTTTGGCTGTTCAATTACACTAAAATAAATAAATAAAGTGAAAGACTTGTAATTTGTTTCAAGCTGTTGACTAAATTATTTTCTTAACCTTCCTTTCCCCCACTCATATGTGCTTATAGTTGAGGCATTACAAACATCACCAAGTTATTTAACTCAAAATTATCTCATTAAATGGAGTGATTAAAAATGGGTATCAGTCAAGTCCAAATCAGAGTCCCAAACCCTTGAAAGTCTCTGCTGATTGAGGCCATACTCCACATCTACTCAAACAGAATTTTTCATAGCTTGTAATGATATTGAGCCTTGATTGTGCTGTGCTTAAATTCCTCAGCTGCTAATGAAATTAGTAGGTCAGCCCCTAAAATGTTTCACAGGAAATTATGTGGCAATCTGCTTATCTAAAGATTAATCTCTACATGGCAGTTAAATTCTGCTCTATAGAGTCATTATGACTCAGAGTCAACTTGATGAGAGTAGGTTTACTTTTTTTCATATTGATAAATATAATAAGAAAAACACATATTTTGGGTTAGTCTTCAGTACAAATTTCAGCACAGCCCTTTACAATTTTTTTTGATGTTTGATACATTGTTGACTATTATTTTATTCAAGCTACAATGCTAGCATTCTCTTCAGATCAATATTTTGATTCAATTAAATAGTGCATCTACAAATTATCTGCATTAATATTGGATATAATAAACAGGATCAATGTATATCTTCTGTTCATTACCATTTTCTTTCTGTTAGGCTGGTTTAGAGAAACAAATCCAGCGACGCTCCTCTATGTATAAGAATGAGCTTTATATCAAGAAAGCATCCCAGTCGAATCCAACTCATGTCCGTCTGTACAAATGTCTCATGTTCACTAGTCTATACATACCTGCTAAGATTTACATAGTCACATGTCAGTGACACAGAATGATGAACCAGAACTCAGGAAGATCACAGGCTGGTCAGCGCAGTGGAGATCCAATGTCAGTGAAAACATGGCAGGGTGCCAGCAGCTTTCAATGTCACAGCAGAGTCAAAGCACGTAGGAGGACAAAGTGGCAGAGATGGAGAAGGGGATTTCCCCAATCTTCTCCTTTATAAGAAGACCATACCCTCAAGGAGGCATCACTAGACTGTAGCCTGATTGACAGGTTGGATTCCACCCTTATAATTTCATACATCTATAACTTGACAGCAAATCATCTAACCACCACAACAATGTAAGAAACACATAGAAATTTTTGAAATATGGAAACAAGAAATGAATCCTCTGTGTAATACACTGTTGTCTTTTGTTTTTTTGTTTTCATCTCTTTGCTGTTTAACGATTTTGGGAGTGTTGTAGAACTTTTAATCTTGTTAATTACTGTCCATAGGAATTTCAATTACCTTTATTATAATGGAATGCAAGTTATATTTTCTCTGTAGATAACTCAGTTGGCATCTACTTGAAAAAAATTCACTTTGCTTACCTGTTCTTTCTTTTTGTTTTTGTTTTGTTTTTTAATCATTTTATTAGGGGCTCATACAACTCTTATCACAATCCATATACACATTAATTGTGTAAAGCGCATTTGTACATTCATTGCCCTCATCATTCTCAAAACATTTCCTCTCCACTTAAACCCCTGGCATAGGTCCTCATTTTTCCCCTCCCTCCCTGCTCCCCCCTCCCTCATGAGCCCTTGATAGTTTATAAATTGTTATTTTGTCATATCTTGCCCT